CATAATTTGATTTATTTGGCAAAAATATTTGCACAATGAGAGCACTTCACTTCACTGCACCTGTTTTTGTTTGTTCAAATCCAGTGTGAATTGTTGTTGTGGAATAAACAACCTGTACAGCAACAAAGCCAGCTCTGTCCAAAACAACACCACAAATTACTGCGCTCCTGCCATGACACAATTTAATCCCATCGGAATAAAAGAACATCAGATTACGGCACAAAGACAGAGCCATCGGTAAACAGGGATTAGAGGATTGGGTCTTTAATCTGATTAATATGGAGGCAGCTGGAATATTAGAGATGTTACTCAACAGTTGTATTCCAGATGAGAGGATAATCACACTTCACTACGTCATTTATTGTACCCTGTTAGAACTTTCAGAGCTAAACCCGCCACCATATGTTTACCTGACCTCAAGGCTGCCTCAGTGAAAAAAACAATCCCAATGTAATGAATTAGGAGCTCATTAGGCGAGTGGGAAAACATACAGTTATAAATGTACAGGAAACTTCATTGATTTTTGTTTGTATTCAAGGGTAACTGGACCGGATGAGGGTCAGTATTCTCTAGATAAGCAGCTTCATCTTCAGATAAAGAGGCAGAATGAGAAAAAAATCTGCAAGTAAATACTCTGATTTATAAGTTACAGCGCTGTGTCTCTAAATACACTCACTGTTTCGTGAAAGTGTTTTCTTAGCAAACTAAATTGAACAAACATATGCACCTATATGGGAGGAAACTGAGATTACAGTGTCCTAAAGCATCAAGATTTAAGCACTTTGAATGTAAAATGATGTATGTCTCCGTCTAAGAACCCTGTTAGTACAGGAGTGTGCACTTTTCCAGTTCAATAAAAACACCCTCGTCGTGTTTCAGACTTTGTCACCTTATATTTAGCTCCATTTAAGTGACTATTCTACCTGACATCCCAACAGCCAATCCATTTCTCATGTAGATTTTAAAATGTTCACTGAGGGATTTTGCGAGTAGAGCAGTTAATTCTAATGACGGTAGAAGATATTTCTGCTTGGGCTGAGGGATGTAGTGAGAACAAAGTTTTTAACAAGTAGAAACATTTAAAGAGGAGGGCGATACCGCTCAAGAAAACTGCCCATATTGTGGGAAAATATCCGCCTATGAAGACGGACTTCTTTCCTCACATTGCACCTCTTTAGCGCAGCTGCTAATAGAGGTTAAACTAATAAAAAGTTGACAGTTGTGTGCGTAACATACACAGAGCTGACGGCTTTAGTTGCACTGTTTTATTAGCCTGTGTTGTGTGTGCACAACACAAAGACAACATTATGCATTGCTATCAGTGGCCTGACAAAAATGAATTACCACCCAGCACTTGATTTGGTGCCTCAGCCAGTGCAGCACATATATCTTTATACACAATGTATGACACAGCATGGATGAATCCATTGCCAGAGTTTTGTCTGTTACTGATATGAAGAGGACATTTCAATTCAGTGTGCTTATGTATATTTTCACTTTAATGTTTATCATCCTTAGCGTACATCACACCCGTGTTATGAATAGGCACCCTGCTGGCCCTTGATATGGTAAATTGGACATTTTATGGTTTATGAAAGGGGTGTTTTTTTTTTTATCTTCCACTTTTATTCATGAGCCCCGAATCTTGCTGTAAATGCCTTTAAGACAGATTCAGCTTTATTAGACTCATGAATAAAAGCGATGTTTCCTATTATGACTAGTAGCTGTGGTTGGTGGCCACTGGAAGGAAGAAGAAAAAAAAGCTTGAGCCTCTTAGTTTTTTTTTTATTTTCACTCGACTTCTCAGGGTTTTATCACTGCCCAGTTCAACACAGCATTTCAGAGACCCTTGTGTGTACATGACATTTCACCAAAATGGCTGAAATACCATCAAGTATGTAGCAGCTCCCTCATTAAGAGGAACACAATGGCTTTCGTTTTTGTGCGTCTTCAGTTAAATATAGAGTTCCCTGTGGTAGTTGTAAAAAAATTTCCTCTGCCTTTGCTCTGATATTTTTGTGCTGTTGTCTGTTTTTCTTTGGATGCTGTGTTCTGTTTTCCACACGCATATGGCTCTGTCTCACCCCTGGGGAATTTCCTCTTCTGGGCTAATGTGAATATTAGTATGGGTTAAATGCTCCAGTCATTTGTGCATTAATGCATATTGCATAATTAATGTTTTTTGTGAAGTCTCAGTTTCGAACAGCAGGAGGAGAAAAAAAAAACAACCCTCATCTCTGTGTTCAAACTTAAAATATCTCAGTTAAGTCCCCGTAACAGGACTCGCTGGCAGGATTTTTTATGCCAGAGTTGTTTTGATGTCCCCTGATTATTTCCATTCTTGATTAAGGGCTTTTCTGTGAAGATTCAAGGCATTCAGGAGTGTGATGGGATTAAATGGGACACTGTAATGACCCTGTTGTCTGAATGGCTCATCATACAGACACAAAGCTAAGATCGGAGACTGGCAAAAAAAATCTGGAACCACTGTTGTGAACTGGGAGGACAGTGTCACTATTGTTCCAGATAAAGATGCAGCTTTTAAATTGAGGAGAAAACATTTATCACTTGTTATATTTCTTTTTTATTTAAACGGTTGCTTCTTTTTTCTTTTTTAAATTTATGTAGTTGAGTAAGTTTTCAAGTCTGTTGTAGGCTTTGAAATCATAGGCTGGTCTTGATATTCTATCTGTCACAAAATCTGTAACATCCATTGAGTTATATAAATGTTCCCATCTAAAAGTTGAGATGCTGACAAAAATACTAATCTGGTGATGTGTTTGCCCTCAGAAAATAATACAGTATGCATCTACAAAGAAATATATCTACTCTCTAAGCTGCATTTTATTGAATTTTGTCTAGTGTTTGTTATTACAAAGCTGTGAATCTGTCAGATTAATATTATGTTAAAAGCTGTTGTAGTTTCACAGGAGACACTTCTTGTTTCAAAGTGATCAATACTAATTCATGTGCTGAGAAAATGTCTCTTTGAAATCTGTGGCCTCTGTCCATGGTGCTGAAATTTTCACAGTCCACTTTATATTATAGGAGATCAAGTAGAAAGATTTGGTAACTTGCAGATGAGTAAAAATGCAGTTTTAGATGAAGATAAATTGACACTAAAAATAAATCTTAAATAGTGGCTTTCTGGGTAATTTATAACAGTTTGGCCTTGGAGTTTCATTACATCTTGTTCAAAATGTCCAATTCCACTTGTTCTCTAAATGAATTTGCAGCTTTTAGTGCTTTTCTTGCACAAGTTATTTCAGGAATATGTTTGAGACTTTTTCTGTGTAAAATCTTCTCGGTGTGGACAGTAAAGTGAGGGGGACAAAGGGCGAGTCGATCGGAGTGCAGCTGATGGCTGCGTTGTGATTAAAGACACCAAATTGCGGCAGTGAGCAGTGTCGTAATTACATTTCTTAATCACATTCTGGAGGTCTAATTGCCTTAACGATGTGTTTCATTACGTGAAGCCAGGTATTACAGTCGACAGTCTTCATACACACTTGTTTTCGAATTAACGTGTTATTACGCACCGTCATGGAAATCGTTATAATAATCACAATAAAGGTCAGCAGTGTTTTTTTAAGTTGTTGTTCGGAGGAGGACAAACATCTTATCGCAGCCCTCAGGTTAAATTCCTCAAACCACGTCTGGCCTTCGCCCCAAAGACTTACAGATCAAGAAAAGTTGCCAATTTTGATGGAGCAGAAAATTATTGAGCTTTTGTTTCAATACGTGAAAGTACAGAAACTGACCAATTAGAGCTGCATCACCTCCAGAAACTACCATCAGCTTAAATTATAATAAGCACGTGGAAATATAAAAGTTTGTGAAACCACCATGAAATGTCAAATTCTGGTTGAAGATTACAAAAAAAAGAAAAAAGAAAAGCAATTCCAAAATAAAAGTTAAAGGCAGTGTGCTCTGATTCCACTACACTCCACATCAGATGAATAACCAGAAGGGCTTTTTTGTTCTGTTGTTCAAAATATTTTAATAAAGCTTTTCAACACTGAAATACATACAAACGGCCCCCTTTGCTTATATAATAACTAAGGTATCTACAATAATCCACAGCCTGACCTGACAACGCGAGTAATCTGAAGACCTCAACTAAGAAACTAAGAAGAAAAGACGACAATGTGCAATGCAAGCAAAAAATATCCATCATAAATATCCAAATTAATAAATTACAAAAAGACACATCGAAACACCTGATAAACCTTGACTCAGGTTTTGTTTTTTTTTGCTAAATTTTTCTGGAATTTTATTATATCACAGTGCCCCCAAAATGAATTGTAATAGGCGTGCGCAACTATTAACAAGTGTCTGGATTTTTTTTTTAGCACATAAATATCTGACTGATTAATCCACTTAAACTTCTATTTTTTTTATTTAACTTTCCTCAATCGTGACATTCCACGTGCTCAATAAGAAAAGTTCGTGAAAACAGGCCTCGAACCATAAAAAATTGTCTCTGAGGTGAATGGAGAAGAAGAAAAAAATAAAGATAAACCGCAACTGAAATGAGAAAGCAGCAGATAAGTGAGGTTGTGGACTTAACGCTCCGGCGGGAAGGTGTCCATCTTATTCAAGTGAGAGAAAAAAAAGAAAGGAAAAAGTCGCGAGTTGTCAGGTCACCCAAATCTCCAAAAGGGTCCATCACAGAGCAAGTGATCAACAACTCACTCAGCCACTCTCACAGGCCTACTGTACTTCTGTTTGGTCTTCACTGCCATTCATACCAGCACTTTAAGGATGATTTATATACACAATCAAGTATTGTTTGAACAAAAAAGAAAAGCGCGTTTTAATGCATTTAGTAAATATTATAAAAGTATTCATCGGCATTACTTTTTGTCTCTAGCCTACTGACTTCAACAACAGTAGCCTCACAGGGTTTTTTTTCTCCTTTTTCTTTTTCTTTCCAAAAGTGTCCTTAAAAGTGGGTTCTGTTCTCTCGTGTGCTTCTCTTGAGTCTTTATCAGGCGCAGTTAAGGCTTGTCAGTGCACTGTTTGCAGAGGCTGGAGGTGGCATTGTTGAACAGGGCACATTTATCGGGGCAGGAGGACGCAGCCACTCCGGTGGGGAACGGGTATCCGGGCGGCTGATCGTACGCGCCCAAGCCGGGAGCCGCCAGGGCAGTGGTGGCCGGTATCGAGGCTGCAGAGATGGCTTGGCCCTGGTTGAGATACGCCACTAGCCTCCTCATCTCCTCCAGTGCCTGCGCCTGCATGAGGATGTAGTTTTTGGCGAGCAGCAAAGTGGCAATTTTGGAGAGTTTCCGCACCGACGGGCTGTGCGCGTAGGGGATGACCGCTCTGAGCTCATCCAGCGCGTCGTTCAGATCGTGCATCCGTCGTCTTTCTCTGGCATTGATGTTTAGCCTCAGTAATTTCTGCTCTTTGGTTTTCTTACCTCCTTCGGCTTTCCCCGCGGGCACCGTCCGCCCGTCGGCCAGCAGGACCATGTCACACCTGCCGTCGCTGTCATCGTCGGGGCTCTGCTCTCCGCCGCTGCTCTCCGCCGCCGAGGTCCTGTTGGCGCTCTCCCCGTAGTTGACGCACAAAGATCCGGTCGGCAGACCCAGTGGCCCCCCTCTACCTCCCGCCAGTACCCCCGGCTGAATCGGGTCTTGGTCGGCCTGGTCAAAGCAGCTGATCGGTGACTGGCGGTCTCTGGCTGGTAGTTCAATGCCGGCAGCCGATCTGAAAGGGTCCATTTTTTTCGTGGACACAGCGCTGAGAGTTTTGTGAAAAATGTCCCCTGCGCCGCCGTTCAAGTTCATCCTCCTGTCCATAGCCTTGTGGTTTGCGCGTCGTCGCAGGCTACGGGCGCTTCTGGAAAACTCTTGACGCGTCTCTGTGAGTTTCTTCCTCTGTTTGTCCTTTTACCAGTTTAGTTGCGTGTCAGCGGTGAAGTTGCGGGTTCGCTCCACTTGTCAGCTGAGGTGTAGAGACGAGGAGGAGACTCGTGTAATAAGTGCTGCTCTCTCCTGCCTCTCTCTCTCTTTCTGTGTCTGATTCACCTTCACCGGATCTCCACGATGATCCTCGTTACGCACAAGACGCTTCAGTCTTTTTACATCATTATCTCGAGGCGGGTTATTAAAAAGGATTCGCCTATTGGGACAGAGACACCCTCTCCCCCTCTCACTCTCCACCCAATCAGGTTAACGTTTTAATTAATGGCATTTAAAGGATGACAAACAATACCTCGTGCGCTCTTTCTCTCCCTGTGAGTGTGTGTGCAAGACTTTTCATAACGGTGTTTTTTTTAGAAACCACTTAACGTCCTGCTGCAATCATTTACTTATGTCATCCACTTGTGTATGTTTCAATAGATAAACCTGGGACCAATACAGATTATTTAACACTGGGAGTCAGGAATTTAGTTTCATTAGAAACCAAAGGCTATAGTCAATTTGTTTACTGTGCTGGAGAGTTTTTTTTCTTTTGCCACAATTTTGTTAGTCCAATTTAAATCAAGCTTATTGTTATCAAACCTAACTGGAGACTGTCATAAACAAGAGTTGCATTAGGATTCATTGTCTGTTAAAACCACATAGTTTCTTTTTTTGCCTCCTTGCAGGGTTTTTTTTTTAACTTTAGGTCAAATGGTCCACCAAAATCTTTGTGTTTCTGCTTTACTATTGTAGTATGTCTCACTTTCAGAGCGAGTTTTCCCATGACAGAACCTGCAGGCTCACCAAGGTTTACTTGTGCTCATACTGCCATCTTCTGGTTTGTATGGAGTAGTACAAGCGTAAGAGGAAGTCAGTTGTCCTCAGGTAAAGCTTCCCAGTTTTATGCAGCTGTCGTTGACCCCAACTGGCCTCTGTGCATTTTTATTGCTGTTAAAAATCCACATGTTTGGTATTGTGCTCACCATCCTAAGGTTTCAGATTGTAATGAATACGGAGGTAGTTATAATGGGAAATGTAAAAATAAATAAATAAAATACATTCAAGTCTTCATTGTGGGAATAAAGTAAGCATGATTTGAAGCATGACCAAACGTCATCAGAGTGTTTTAACAAACACATATGGGATGTACTGTTATTGCACAAAGTAGAAAAAATTTTTATCTAAAGCTTCATAAAGCAGCATTTTGCAAGTTGTACACATGCAGATCAGTTTGCTTCTCATTAGCCTGAGAACGGTGTTTGATATAAATGTATAATATATGTGTAATGTGAGGATTGATGCCATCACATGCTACGTCAAACTCGGCTTGAGATATCTGACTTCTCTTAAAAAGGTGGCACTACAACCTGAGTGTAAAAAAAAATTTGAAAGACAAGAGAAGCTTCAGGGACTGAGGGTCTATTTAAAAGCTCATTTTGAGTATTTCGGTTTGTGTGTTTTTTATGGTGATTGTAGGATCCAGTGGTTTTGATGTTTGACCCAGAAGTCAGGTGCTGCAGGAATCATTTTGTCCTTTTATCACAAGTTTCCCATCATTTTTAAAGTGCAATCCTAAATTGCTGGTGTATTCCTCAAATGGAATCAAAGGTTTTGGGGGGATAATATGTTTTATGAGGCTGTGGGCCTGCAGTGTTTTCATCTCCACAGTTTTACACCTGACCCAGTATTCATTCCAGATGGATCATACCTGAACTCCTCAGGTGTTGCATGAGTTCACTGCAGCCCAGGGAACCCCACAGTACACCAAGATTCAATGTCACCAACTCTGTCACATTCTTCTTCCCTTCAGATATTTCAGCCACACACTAACAGCCATTCTTATAATTACTCTCCCCAAGAAGTCATTTGTAGACACAAGGTGAAATGCATTAAAGGGCAAAATCTCCCTCCATGTCCTCTCAAGTTATCATGGCTGGTTACCATGGCACGTGTGCTGCACACATTAAAGGTACCTTTAGCAGTGATTACCATCCGCCCCTGTCAATTGAAAACACAGTGGATGTGCGGTGGATTTTTTTCACCCTCTGAGTTTGTTACCGTGGCAGCACCATGATTGTGTAACTGGAACAGAGCTTTGCAGAAAAGTCTCCTTCGCTGAGTCTCCCACCGGAGACGACAACATTTGCCAAAGAATTGTTTTATTCCGAAATTCATCTTTGCCCTTTTATAATAAAAAGAGAATTGGAGTCAGATAAGTGAAACAGTTAAGATATTTTGAAGTATAAAGCTGTAGTGCCATTCTGTGGAAATATTTTGTCTTGTGTGCTTTTTCACTGTTCTCCAGAGTTAATGACTTATGACTTAGAAATACAGTTAAAAGGACACATTAGCTAGATTTAAATGTAAATGCTACTACACTGACAAAAGACCCATTGCTGATTCATCTGAGATGTTCTTACACTAAGAAAAAAAGCCTTTTGTACTAAAAATATCAGTGGCCATAAAGGAATTTCTAATAATAACCGTACTTATGCGTTTTGATTTCCAGTATTATACACTATCTTTGAGCATTCGATGGTATAATATTTAACAGTAGAAGTACGACTAAACCTCTTGGTACCTTGTTTGCAAAGGAAGAAATCACTTTGGAAAGCATATTAGCTGTTAGATTGAGCTCATCCACATTCACCTTAACACAATATTTGCTAATTAAATGTTGAAGCTTTAGTTCCCATGAACAGTTGTGCTCTCCTGTTATTAAAATGCCACATAACTGTGAACAGATGCTGCTTAAAAGCAAAGAAAGCAAAGAAACTAAACGTCTGCCCTCCTGGACCTTAATGATTGTGTTGACAATGCTTTTTTACAGCAGCGTCATAACACTCAAGTCCAACACTTTGTTCAACGCACTCAAGGTCAATGTTTTAGCTCTTTTCTAGCATATTTCAATTAGTTTATGTCCCTCTCAGGGGCAGAATACTTGAGGAATTATGATCTAACGAGTAGCCGAGACAGTCGCTTTATCCCGAGACGGCGAGAGAACACCTTCATGGCCAATCAGGTCCGGCTAATGAGACAAGATGGGCGAGGACGGTGCCACAGCCATTACAGTCACAGTACGTCAGCACTTTGGTAATGAGGAGACCATGAAGGCAAAACTGTGGAAAGAAAAGAGAACAAGCATCAATTTAGATTGGAACAAAAGAGGAGTTTAGACACAGGAACATGACAGGAAGCAAAACCCTCAACACAGTGGGATCAAAAAGAAACTTAACGATCGGATTGGCAGAATTCTAATTGCCAACTATAATAGTTAATAATCAAATTCAAATCATTTTCAAGCTAAATTTGCTGTTTTTATTTATTCTATATTATTGTAGACTGAAAATCTTTGCAATTTGTAGTGTTGATACGAACAAAAAATAAAAAAAACAAGACACTTGTGATTTACACTGTTTGGTTTGTGGGTCATCAAATCACATCTCTTGGGCCAATTGCAGCTTGAATTTTTGGTGTATGTTTTATTAACCAGATCAGAAATCTTTATTCCACGCTCTGAAATAAAAAATGTGCAGTTTGTGGTCTTTGACCCACTTTGACTGCACTTGATGTTGATTTGTCGCTGCCGCCACATAATCACCAAAATGCTCCTAATGTGTTGAAGTATTTATTATGCATTAACATTTCATTGGTTATTCCACACATTTTCCCAAGTCGGACGCATTCATAATTTATCATCATATAATCTACTTTGCTGCTAAAGGCCCCTTCCTACTCCTCCTGGGCGTGAGCTTCACTGCACAGTGCTCAGAGCTTGTTTTCATACTCCTCTCCTGAAAGTCTAAAAATTTCTGTGAACCCACCTAAAAGTATCTGCAACACATCCTGGTCCAGTAGACATCTCAGACCAGTGTGACTTGGAAACATGAAGCCTGTGTTGCACATACAGTGAGGTAAACCTTTTCCGTTGTAGACACCCTTAATTGTGTCACTGTCGTTGTTAGACGTTTGAACCACATTGTACTTTATATGGAAAAACTATATGACACCCAGATTTATTTATTTCTTTTTACCGCAGGCTGAGTTTATGTATCTGTACGCATGTCTGGAGAGGATCTTCAAGAATCCTGTACATGCTGTTTAACAGTATCTATTAATTTCTAACACAAGAGGGCAGGCAAGGATTTCTAATGCTGCACAGGAAGCAGGAGGAGCTGAGGGCAAAGCAGGAGCATGATGAACATGCTTTGTGGCATCCTCATGGATTTCATTCAACTTTGAAGATTTTGGTTATCAGTGGAAGCCAGACTCCAGGGCTGTTGAGTTCTGATAGGAAATTTCATTTTTGTAATGTGGTGCTCTACATTGAGACCCACCAGTGTACCATTTTTATGACATGGCATGTAGGCTGCACTTTTTTTTTTTTTTTAATTTATTGTGTATGCTTCCAAGCTGCAGTTTAATTTGTAATCAGTTTAACCTCTCAGGCCAGGTAAATGTTGGTGCTGACTTCTTATGTTGTTGTGACTGATGGGTGTTTGATTCACTGGTGCCACTGCAGCGTTTGATCATGCGCATTAAAGCCCTTTAGTTTTCTATTAAGGACTCTTTAGGCTTTCTCCCTGATTGTTTCTCTGATTGCTTATTTGAAGAATTTAAGGAAATAAACGTTAATGAGTTGGTGAAATGATTGGATAACCCCCCTCCTCAACAGGCCCCTCTTGCATTGATCCATCACTCCTTCCGCCATCCTCGGCTCTGATGCGCACAGACTCACGTCATTAATCAAGATCTGATTATTTTCTGCTGTCAAAATGTGCAAATTAGAGTCTTTAATTTCTGTGGAGTGTAAACAACTGCAATTAATTGAAAAAAATATGATATAGCTTGGATGGTGAAGTGTTGATCCACGAATTATATCGCATTGTCTGTTG